TTCCTGAGGGTATTGGCTTGTAGTAGTAATACCATATTTATTTAAACAATGTTAAAATAGAAAAATCAAAAAAAATATAAGACAAATAATATAAAAGATATGCAAATAACAATAATTATTATAAAAAATGTATCTAATTGTACTGTTAGTTTTAACATATTTTTTGTATATATTTTAAGATATGAAAGGCATACCATTACTGAAACTACAGCTTGGAAACAATAAATTTATCAAAAATCCTTCATAAAGACCATTTTTTAATATTGCATATTATATAATGTTAAAATAGTTATTAATTATTATAATATCGTAGAAAAATCTTTTATGTAGTCATAAATTCTTAACTATAAACAAACAAAAAAAAGTGTTCCATTTATAGTATATCAGTGACAGATTACTACCAAACCTAGAGAATATGACATTATTTTGATGTTAATATTTTAATTTAATTATTTTACAGAGTAGAATTTATTGATATACAAAAATAAAATATAAATTAATGTAAAATGTTATTTTCTATAATGTATTTGTTCAACAATTTTTTTTTTCTATAGTATAATTAACAGGTTCTATTTAAATAATAATATAGTTACTTACGCAAAATAATATTTTTTTTCTAATTTAAATCATGCAGAAAAAATGAATAAAAAATATAAAATAGCGTCATTAATGGTTGAATTAATACAACAAAGTTATCTATAAACATGTATTTTATTATTATCATAATGTGCTTAATAATAAAATATGAAATGTATCCTTTACCACATATACTTATTGTACCTTATTCTTAAAGACATAATTTTTACATTTTAAGTAAAGAAAAAGAAAAAAATTAATTATAACGATAGGTTGATTCAAAATTTGCCGAAAACATTATGTTTATTATTTTATTAATAAGTTCTTAACCGATCGATATATTTTTATTGATAATTAAATAATACTAATAAATTGAAAAATTTGATTTCTGTGATTAGCTCTAAAACAGTAAACATATTTTAAAAATAAACCATGCATTGGAAATAAGATGATATTATTGACAACTGATGACAATTTCAAGCATTTACAGTTATTTATTTTTAATTTATAACAAATTAAAGAAATAAATATTTTCAAAACTGGTTTAACGTAATATTTTTGTTTATTTTTTATAGTAATTAAAAAAATTACTAAAAATGTTCACTTTTGAACTCTTAAAGTAGAAATGCAATTCAATTTTCTACCAGAAAATACCACTTAAGTTATTTTTAATATACCAAAAGGTAATGGTAGGCAAAAAAAAATATACACACTAACATCATTTTAAAATTAATACATTCATCACATTGCTTAGAATCTATAATTCTAAAATTTTAATGAATTAACATAAATATTACAATACATTTTAAATCATTATTACTTCAATATATTCTAAACTTTTTATCATAAACTATTGAAAGTTATACTTAAAGTTTAAGTAAAGATTATTTGCTTGAATTCCGATTTATAATTCTTATATCTACCTTATTTTTTTTTAAATTTTTATTATTGCAGAATTTTAGTTGTACATTCGTGGATTTATTTATAAGATAGGTACTTGAATGATTTTTTTGCTTTGCAATAATACATGTGTATACATAACAAAGTAAACAACTTTAATGAATTAATATAGCTTATAAGTAATTAGAATACACGAATAATATTTCTATTGTTTAACTAAATGATAACACTCACTATACGACTAAACTATTTTTATTTTTTTTTTTTTTTCATTTTATTATTATTAAACAGTATATAATAATATGTGCAAATAATTATACTTAGTTATGAAGTTGTTGTTACTTTCAGAAATTAATCCTTTTTCATTAGGTAACAACTCAGTAATAAATTATGTTTATTTAACAATAAATAAATCATTAGCTTAAAGAAATAAGGTGTGATGCATAATATTATTATAAAAATATGAAAATTTAATATAAGTTCAGATTTGTCATTGGGTAGGTACATAATATAATAATTCAATATTAAAATTAATAATATGATTATTTTTTTTTATCTATATTATAAAAGGGAATGATAGTGTGTATGTATATGTGATCTACAACTTACTCAAGTCTACCACATTTGTGATTTGGAAATTTTACAATACTAAATATTATTATACTCGTGGGTGTCTGCCTCAAGACTAAATTTTAAGATTTTTAATTAACTAACATGTAATTATTATATTTTTGCATATTTTCCCATCTTAGTCTCAATACAAAGTTACGATCATTGATATCAAACTATTTATAAAATAAATAATTGTTACTGGGCTAATTTAGCCAATATGACAATCAATCAATACTACTATATATAATTACAAGGGGTTTTCTATGATCGCGCAAGCCGATAAAACTACTGAACTGATTTGGCTGATATTTTTTACTGTTATAACTGGTAGCCTGTTAAAGGTTTTAGTACGAATTTTAATAATAAATAAATAAATAAATAAATAAATAAATAAAAATAAAAAATGGAAAAATGGGCGCGACCCGTTTTGCCTAAATTTTGTAATTGTAAGATTTCCGTTGTAGATTATACTTGAGTATCATTTAGCGTTACCCAGAGAACACCACAAGGAGGCGATACGACTCTTAATTCTCCAAATTTTTTTTTAAACTTTAAATTTACTTCGCATTAAAAAAAAATTTAATATTAACAAGTACATTAAACAAATTATTTAAAAAAAAATTTACATGCAATCAAAGGTTTTAATTTTGTCACAAATATATTTAATACTATAAATTTCACATATAAATTTAACCACACAAATTGTATAAACAATATGGCCATTTTTTTAAAAAGTAAACAAGGTTTGATTTCAGAATGCCCAACTGACGATAGAGTTATTAAATACTGTGGTTATTTAATAAACAATTATATTTCTGAAGATAGTACATTTACTTCTAGTCTATGGGCATGTAATACAGCGAGTATACTGCTTACGACGAATACGCGCGAATGCTCGATGTGTTGTCTGAATAACGCTAAATGACACTTAAATATAATGTACAACAATACTTGACTGAATCATTACCAACTCAATTTTAAATTGGTATAAACTAGTCTGAGCGAAACGGGAATCTTACAATTACAAAATTTAGGCGAAACGGGTACGGTCATTTTTGGGTGAAACAGGTCCCGCCCGGAAAAATAAGGAAATAGGAATTTTTACGCATATCCCAATATTATTCTTAAAATTATTGTTTCGTAACCATGGTTACCATTAAAACACTTATATTATAAGAGTTATTATTATTAATGGAAATGAAATTTTAAAATATCTAAAATAATATTATCTATCTATTTATACCAGAGGTGGCCAACCCAAATGATCTTGCAGGCCACTTTGGAAATACATTATTATCCCGTGGGGCACATATTTTTTTTAAATTGGTTAGGTAATTGTGTTGAAACTTCAGCGGACCACATATAAAATTATATTAAAATAAATACAAAAAAAAAAAAAAAAAATACAAAATTTATTAACATAGATTATATATAATAGTTTTGATTAATTTATTTCACTATTTAGTGAGATGTTTTTTTGTAAATATTTGATATAACTCGCGGGCTACAAGTTTCCCACCCCTGATTTATACCATACATTTATTTACACTATTGTATGGTAAGATTTAATTAACTCAAAAGTCAATAATAAAGTTCATGAAAAATTAAAAACAAAGCTAATTTTTGGGGCCTCTCTGCGAGTTCTGCAAGAACAAGCCTTTTTTATATTCCAATTTGGTGTCGTTACCATTTTTTTTTTCACAGATTCGTTCCAAATACCCTCCTAAAGATCGCCACATCACTCGATTTTTAATTTTTTTTTTTTTTTTGTCTGGAGAGAGTGTATAAGTGTATTGTATTTAAATGTTCTAATTTTCTGACGACACTATTTCACATTTTTACAATTTTTTTCAAAAGATTATACATAATACTTAATACCGCTAGAAACATTTCAATACGTTTTCATTAACCATTTTTTAAATTTACTTACCGATCACATTATTAAATGATAAAATTTGAATAAAAAATTCTACATATCAATATATCATCGTTCGAAGGCAAAATAAACAACCAACCACAGGCAAAGCCGTCACGGGTCAGCTATTTTTATAAAAAAATATAATATTTGAAAAGTGTAAAGTTGTATGTAATATTAAGATTTAACATCAACTACAGCGATTAGCGTACACGTATGGAATATATATCTATTATTTATTACCTAAATATAAAGGAAGAAATTCTGGCTAACCATATAATCAAGACGTATCTAAGATTATGATAGCTAAATAAAATAAAATAACTATAGTAATTTTATTTTGTATAATTTTATACTTATATTTTATCTTCTGTCAAAACCATGTAAATATAGCTGTCAAAAATGTATAGTTAATATATAACGGAGTTTAAAACAGCTAGGGTAAATTCACCGATATTTTTTTTAATTTTTAGTTTGATATTTTTAATTATAAAATATATATATTCTCACAAAGAGTTATGCGGTATCGGATTTTAAATTAATAATTAATAACTATAAAACAAATGTTATAGAATCAAACAATAGATAAGTACTCAAAATACTAATTACTTTATTTTTAATTTTTTCACATAACTTATTTTGAATAAAGCCTAGTTAATATTACTGTAATTTTTAATTTGAATCACGATTGACCCGAAATATAAAGCGTTACCTTTTTTGAAATTTTGATTAATGCTTAAATATATTGAAAAATAAGGATATATATTATATGTATTCTTTAGTAGTTTGTAGATGTTACAACACCATCATACTTCGTCTAAAGAAACTACATTTATTTATTAAACGTAACATATTTAATTAATACCTATAGCAACTATTAAACATTTATTTCGTATTAAATAATTAATTACAATCCACTTACGTCGATATTATCTTATACTTACACAGCAAACTTAATTGAGTGGACATTTAAAATAAATATTTTAACCAGACTTGAATGTTGGCAACATCTGACTCATCGTTTCTGGGAAAACATAAACTTCAAGTATGGAAAAAAATTGGTGAAGGTTCGTTTTCTAAGGTTTACTTGGTCAAATTTGGAGAACCTGATGACGAAAATGCAGTAATGGTTGCAACAAAAGTGATAAACAAGAATCGCGTTTCCAATAAATTCGTGGAGAAGTTTTTACCCCGTGAACTCGATGTGTTGGTCAAACTAAAGCATCCATACATAGTGAAGGCAAGTATAAAATAGTGTAAAGACTGTAATGATAATTTATTATTATTATATTCAGTTTTAAACTCGATTGTTACAAAGAAATATGAATTACTTATAGGTGATGAAATTGTATACATTGGTGATTAGGTTTTAAATATACGTAACTATTACCTAGTGATATTATAGGATACCACTTCATTACTCAAAATGTTTGTTATCTATTAATTGTTATGCGTTAAAAATTTATTTTTTTATAATGTAAATATGTACCAAAGGTATTATTAAAATATCCACATTTTTTGTTGAGATTATTTTAAATACACGTGTAGCTTGTATAGTAAAATATGAACTTTATTTAACGTGTTCGGAAAACCAACTCACACACGTTTTTGCCGAACATATAGATAGTTGTTATTAAATTCCACCAAAGAAATTTGTCATTCTCAAATAAAACACATTATTGGAATAAAGTAATTTACAAACATGAAATCCTATAGTTAGAAACAGATCTACGCAACAATGAAAAGCGAATAACACTTCAAAGTAAACATTTTTAGTGTTAAGCTGTAGTATACGAAATCGTATAGCTTACAGTAAATGTTTTGTCCAAAACACAGTTTTAGTGTTATCGATTTAAAAAACACTATTTTATAGAATGAAAAAAGTATAGCCATCTAATTTTTTGTCACGTACGAATATCTTTTGTACATCACCAAGATAATATGAAATATGTTTGTTTTCGTTGAATTTGATCACAACACCTTAAGGCATGAAAATAAAAATCGTTTATTTTACTAAAAATGAAATTATTTTTATTTAAAAAATGAAAAATAAAAATATATAGTTTACAATTTTATTACTACGTTATTTTAAAATTCAAAAGAGATTTAGAAATATATGTTTATACGCAAAATGTATTCCAAAAGTAATATTATCTGGTAGGTATTCGATATTTAAGTGTATATCATATCTTCTAAGTCTTAGTGAATTATAAATCATCTCTTTTTAAGCACAATCTTTAGAGACTTCTCTGTTGATATCTATAGTATTATTCCTTTTGATGTTGTCTACAGACTGAACCTGAATGATAAATCTTAGTTATAAACTCAGGACAGTGAAAAACGTTATTAAGTATAAAAACAGTTTTCCCATGAACTAATAACATTAAAAATAAGTTTTGAAAACTACTTTTGTTTGAAAATTTTCTGTCTACATTTTAAATATTTCATTTTTAACAAATTCTTGCTGTTTTTCTGTTTTTTTTTTTTTTTTTTTGTTATTATTCTAACAAATATTTTGAAAGCATAGATTTTTGCTAGTTTTTCTTATTTTATTGTCGTCATGTCACGAATTTATTTGAAATATTGCACACTTATTTGTATTACTCTGGGATAATTTAAACAACATGTTTTATCGTATTCTCATGCCAAAACTTTTAATTTCAGAAATGATTTGATTTCTCAATAAAAACAACTAAATAATTCAGCCATTAAAATATTTAAATACATTAGCTATAGGTATTTCAGAATTTCTAGAAACACGTTAATACTAATGGTATTGTACATAGTATACCTAAGTATATTAGTTTAGATAAACCAAAATAAACTATGAATTAAAATAGAATTCAGTAATAATTTTTCAAAGTCGTATTTCAGACATATCGGGTTGGGAGAAAAATTATTTTTATGATTAGACCAGCTCTATAATAGTAAGACAGACCGCATTTTTTAATAGATAACGACATTTTTTTGGTATTTTCACGTTGAAAGCGTGTGTCTTTATCGCAGGTGTTTAGCGTGTTCCAAAATGGTTACAAGATCTACATAAACATGGAGTTCGCGGAAAACGGTGACCTGTTCACACACTTACGTAATACGGTGATGAAGGAGTCACAAATTCGTTCGTGGTTAGTGCAGATTCTGTGGGCGTTCATGTACATGCACAGTATGGGCGTAGTGCACAGGGACCTAAAGTGCGAGAACATACTACTGACCAGCAACTACAATGTGCGCATAGCCGACTTCGGGTTCGCCAGGTTCGTGGACCGCGGACGGAATCCTGGCGCAGACACGCTGTGCGGCACGTTGACCTACTCTTCGCCTGAGCTCTTGTACGGCAAGCGACCTTACAACCCAGTGTTTTCGGACGTGTGGGCAATCGGTGTCGTGTTGTTCATGATGGCCAACAACAAGGCACCGTTCCGCGACAAGACCAAGGAAGAGATACACAGAAAACAGGTGAGCAGTGTTGTGATGTATATGAATAAAAACGAGTGGGAAAACGGGTACATACCGCTCAGCTGTGCATTAGGCGTCAAGTGGGTCGCTGCAATGGCCGTGTTAAATTTGAATTGAATGATTATGTATCATCGAAAACGAAAAATGATTCCGAGCAAAAATGCTCTATTGGCAATTAGCATGATACATCGCCAAGTTCATTTCATGACTTGTTTTTTTGATATTCTATTAAAATAATTAATTTTACTAAAAGTATAACAGATGATTAATTTAACTTTTGCCAAAACCGTCGCATTTATTTTTTTATTAATATTTAATTGTTAAAATATATATTTATACCACTTATTATTATATTATTGTTATTAACTTTCTAGGCAATACTAATTTAACGTAAAAAAGTGTGAATAAGTTCATGGCATAAATAGGTACCGTAATGTTTTATAATGTAAATATATATTTTTAAATTTCATTGCATTTAGTATAATTCACAATATACGTAAAAGATCACACGAATATTTTTATTTTTTTAGTAATAAAAAATAAACAACCATTGTTGTTTATTGTTTAAATAAGTAATTTCAGCCAAATTTGAACTTAAAATATACTTAAAAATGTTTTTATTTATATAGTTTTTATAATGGGGTTTTACATTAAATTTTCAAAAATTTCTATCTAGTGAATACATTTTAATTGAGATTTAAACTAAAAAAGTAAAAAAAAATTGGAAATTTCTCAAGCCTATAAATAACTCAAAAGAGGTAAAAATATTTTGTTGAGTTTATGGTAAATAAAGAATAATAATTCAAACATTTTTTAAATATTTAAAGTATCTAAGTTTTTTGCTTTTGAATAACAATATTGATTTGATCAAAAATATGATTTTCATAAAAAAGTCAATTTTCCATTTCCCTTCTACTGATTAATTTGAAAATTACTAAAGATTTTTAATTCTGACCTCTCTAAAGTACAAACTACAAATTAGATGCAATGTTCTATCTTCGATCACTCTCAAAGTGGAAAATCGAATAATTTTCTTTTTATTTATCGTGTATACAGATACAAAAACAAAAAATACACACTATTGTAAAATTAATACAATACTTCTCTTAAAAATAATTAAATACGACTCTTGGATAATTGTTTTGCATTTTTTTATTTCTTAAAAATTACTTTGATTTCGTATCCAATAAATAGTTTTTAACTTATGACAATGTATAGGCACTATAAAATATATTAAAAATCATGATATTTATTTTTATATTTAAAATTTCAATATATCAACAATAAACATTAATTTCCAACCATTACAAAATAAATATAAATTAGTAAAAGAAAAAAATATATAATAATTTAATAATATTCGTTTGTACTTCGAGACTGAGTATATTTAAAAAAAATATATTAATTACCTTCAGTATATTAAAATAGGTATTCTGAATACAAAATAAAATTATTCTTTGCAAAACTGCTGGTTAGAAGAAATAGAAAGATGAAAAAATATATCATATAATAATACAAAACCTAATCATGAACACTGCTGCACGAGGCGTATTTACCACCATTTTATAATTTAACCAAATATATAAACTAATAGCTGATATAAATTTGAAATTTGTAAGTAAATATACTATTTTATGCACATTCATGACAAATTTCAGTTTGCAATATAAACTCATTTCTAATCAAAAACTACCCTGTTTAAAAAATAATAATAATTATAATAATTATAAGTAAAATATAAATAAATTGTCAATTAAAATCATATACATAATTATTTTAAATATACGCAACACCCGAATCATTTTGTTTATTTCAATAATGAATTTTACTTTGATGTGTTGAAATATAATGTAATATAATACATCATTTATAAAAACATCAAAGTTGTTATCATAAAATTGTAGACTTAATGTAAAACATCGCCGTAACCCCTAGTGTTTATAACTTATAAATTGTTGTAGAATCTGAGATAACAAGTTATTTAAATTTTGTCGTAGGTTGATACATAAATCATTAGAAAAACATAATACGATATGCTAGATAGTTATAAATATGTACATTCAAAATTGCTTATTATTTTTTTTTTACGTTATTCTATATTTGTTATCACATTTATTATTCTATCGTTTTCAGTGGTATGACGTAACAATGGTGGTTTTACATTACTTTACGAACCGACTGTTATGTACTGTGTCGACCACTAAAACTAAATTGCCCGTACATGATTTCACAGAAAGTTGTGTAATGTTGCGTGTACTTAAACTTTCACTCATTAAAAAACTATATAGACAATATAAATATAAACTTTAAGTGAATAATTATCATTCAAAAAAAAATCATATGGTTTTGATTATTTTCAAAAAAATAGGTTCATCTATTTAGTTGAATTATATTATTATTTTTATTCAAATTGTTGATCAAGTACGGATCTAAAAATCTGTAAAAAGTAGACGTTACATTTTTTTCAGACAAAATAAAATTATTATAATCTTAATACATAATAATATTTAATATATTTATACATATACATATGATATTATAGCAATATTCAGCCATCTTTTAATATCAACATAAGCTAATGGTTTAGGCGTGGGATAAGGGGATGACGGCGTTGCAGTATTTCTCAAAATTTTTTAGAAATTTCAAAATGCTTTTAGTTTTCTATGAACGTACTCGTATTTCATAAGACATATAATAACGTATTAAAATTGTAGCTTTTATGAAAGATGCTACAAAAGTCTAAAATGTTATATATTCACGATTTTAATACACCAAACGTATGAGTAATTCTAGTTAAACCAATAAACTATAAACCAGCTTCCAAAAATCTAAAAAAAACTAATTGCTTTAACATAGACATAAGCAATAATTAGAAATAATTATTTATATCACCAAATCCTCGTTTTCGGTAACACAAATTATTCATAATATTTTATAGTTATTTTTAATTGTATATTATTGTAATTAGAAAAAATAATTATTTCACAATAATGTGATTTTTTCTGAATATTTTTTAGGAGCAGTTTAAAATTTAAAATTATATAAATGTATATAAAAACACCGTTATTAATTGTGAAATTAATGTAGTTCATGAGTAATAACTTTTGTTTAAAATTTCTCAATGTTTTCAATCTAGTAAAATTAAAAATTGGCGATTAAACTGAAAATAAAATATATTAGTTTACAAGCAAATAATATATTTAATTTATAAATTAATTATTTTTAAATATGTAAATTGTTATTTAAAATAATTTTTGATTACAAATACATGATGGTTTTTAAATATAAACATTATAAATAAATATTCTACGCTGAACTGATCAAAACGAGACGAAAACTAAGTATAAGAATCGTTTATAAACGTAAAAATGTGTCATGTTTATAATACTTTGACTATTTCGTTACTGATTATCGTTGGTAGCTCATAATATTCGTTAAGCTAAAAATTCTTGTCATGGCACTCAAAATAAATTGTTAATTTATAATAAATTTTAATACTTTATAATTTAACTTTGTCTGTAAAATGCTACTATAATATACAGCTACATACTAACTACTAATAAATAAATTATACTTATATTATGTACAATATATAATGTAAATTTATATTCATTGATTTTAAACCATTTGACTTTTGAATGACTATCAAATACCTACTGTTCAGCTGTTGTCAATAGAGAAAACAATTGAGTATTGTATTTTACCTACATATATAATATTATAAATTATCAAAACAAACTATAGAAATGTTTTTCTGTTAAAAAAACAACACATAGCTAATATATTCATATATATATATATATATATATATATATATTATATGGAAAGTTCCTTTCACCAAAATGTATAACAGTGGTAAATTTATGTATGTTGTGGTTTTACAACAAAATCTATGAAAAAAATATTTTAATGCATTTTTTTTCTTCTAATTTTTAGTATGAAATTAGAATAAATTATTTATGACTGTTGATTAACAAATACATTTTATAATTTTTATATCGACTTTGTTTGAATAAATTGTGTGTATTAAACATGGTCAATTATTTATGAACATAGATGGCTAAAAATTATGCTTTCCGAAAGTCATTGGGACGAAGTAGACTATTGAAAGATTTAACTGCAACGTTTCTGGAGCCAGATTACATAAAGCGGACAAAAATAAAGAATGCTTTACAACATTCCTGGGTCAGAGAAGGCAATATCAAAATGCCTGCGGATGTGATCATAGCAAACGAATCAGATAGAGCCATTTTAAGCAATCCTATAATCACACAGAATTCATTAAGAGTACCCGCATTTCATTACCAGTTATCAGAATACGAAAAAACGATTAGCGCCATTAACGAAGGGTTTATAACATTAAAGAAAAATTAATGTAAATTCATTTTATGAGCTTTATCATCACATTTTGTTGAATAGACTACTACACATTTTGCATATATATTACCTTTAAATAAACTATTGGCAATCAGACAAACATGATTCTTTAAAAAAGTTTAATAATCTTTTTAGAAATAATAAAAAGTTTTCGTTAAAATACTAAAATCATTAAATGTTGATACGCATTAAGAATTACGCTTAACGTACGTTATTAAAACAATTGGCTTATTTAAAAATTTAAATTTTTCCCCGATACCAATATAGGTATATGCTATTTATGATAAAGTAATAACAAACTGTAATGTTCGACAGATACTTAGAAGTTTTAACTATTTTTATTCTGCAATATTATTATTTACTAATTTTAATTAAATAAAACTATAAAATTACAAAATTGTCAAAATTATTAAGAAATATTATTTTAAGTACCACGATATACCGCAAATAATTTAAATGTTTTATTAAAACGAATTGGCATGATGGTTTATACAGTGATATAACTGTAAATCAATTTTTATGATATTTTTTCTGTCAACAATTTTGTGAAAAACATGTTTTCAAATAATTTGTATAAAATATAATACAGTATAATTTATAATATTATTTTATGTTTTAAAATTGTGGTAATGAGAAATACTTACTGTGTTTAATAGAGTCTAATCATTTAAATATATTTTAAACATAGATAAAATAAATTAGTACCTTTAACGAAAGGCATACAACAGTTGAGAAAAATA